AGTGTCTACTTACATCTTCATAAACTGACGTAGACAGTGTCTTACTTACATCTTCATAAACTGACGTAGACAGTGTCTTACTTACATCTTGATAAACTGACCTGGACAGTGTCTTACTTACATCTTCATAAACTGACGTGGACAGTGTCTTACTTACATCTTCATAAACTGACGTGGACAGTGTCTTACTTACATCTTCATAAACTGACGTAGACAGTGTCTTACTTACATCTTCATAAACTGACGTGGACAGTGTCTTACTTACATCTTCATAAACTGACGTGGACAATGCCTTACTTACATCTTCATAAACTGACGTAGACAGTGTCTTACTTACATCTTCATAAACTGACGCGGACAATGCCTTACTTACATCTTCATAAACTGACACGTACAGTTTCTTAGATACACCTTCATAAACTGACGTAGACAGTGTCTTACTTATATCTTGATAAACTGACATGGACAGTGTCTTACTTACATCTTCATAAACTGACACGTACAGTTTCTTAGATACATCTTCATAAACTGACGTGGACAGTGTCTTACTTACATCTTCATAAACTGCGTCACGTCGAGGACCCGGGTTCGAATCCCCACATGGGTACAATGTGTGAAGCCCACTTCTGGTGTCCCCCGCCGTGATGTTGCTGGAATATTGCTAAAAGCGGCGTAAAACCAAAACACAGTTAGTCAGTCATAAACTGACGCGGACAGTTTCTTAGATACATCTTGATAAACTTACTTGGACAGAGGTAAGTCTGAATAAAAGCAGAAAAGGCATATTAAATAACAGATAAACTGATTCTGCCATACCAGAATGTGAGTTAATGGGTTAATTTACATAGCCAGGCTTATTCATGACTACACGCCACCAGAGTCAAGCACCTAATCGCCAGCACACAAAGGCAGCCGCCTAACCAATTACAAAGGCATTAACCAATTACTAGCATTACCCTTTCTGAAGCACACATTCTAGTAGTTTTGAGGGGTTGAGTCTCATTCGTGCTTTGATCCCCATACTCTCGGATCATGATATAAGATTTAAGTCCCGTTGTGTGATGTTGCCGGAACATTATCAAATGCGGCGTAAAAAAATACTGAACTCACTTAACACACGCACACTAAAGATGCTGTTGAAGACTCAAAAACAGAAAAGAAACATCCACTTGACAGCACTTAAACCTTACTAATTGGTACTTATCGCATATAGCGTCAGAAAAAACGCCACGGTCGTAGAGCTACCCAGCTAACAATTTCACAGTGTTACAGCGTTATTCTGTGGACTCCCATTTACCTTATCACAACGTTGTGACGTGACGTTGAGATGTGTCATTTTCACGTCGTCACATTGTTAAAGTTATTTGATGCTAACGTGTTTTACGTTGTCTTAAAGTTCTATTTACCTAATATATTCAGTAACACATCTTTTACTTGTAATACTTTAGATTTTAAATTTAATTTTTTGTTATCTTCTACTGCTTTCTTATCTAACTTAGGTTTAATGTGTTTTAAGATGTTTTATCGTCGTAAATGTTTTAAGAATATTTCAACTAATTCTATCTAGTCATTATTTTATTAAATATTTTTACAATTTTATGTACCTTATATATACATTGTACTGTACGGTTATTTTATCTTATTGAAATAAGTTATATTTTACAGTTTTATACCGTGTCTCTTCGGCCTATTGAGGCCCTTCATAATCTATTTTATCTTTGTATATTTATTGTGTGTATACCTTGTAATTTTATGCGTGACACGTTAATAAACAATTCATTCATTCATTCATTTAAAGTTAATAGTTGAATAGTTTTCCCAGTAGTGAACAGCACATAAGAAACAAAGCAGAAATTCACTTCAATGTTTATTCGTCAATTTGCATGTTGTTTTGGTCGTGTTTTCTGAAGCTGTAGCTGAATAGTGAAGAAAGAATCTCAAAGTGAATTTTTTTACAGAAAACTCTATTGTGACACCAAGTTACTGTGTAATAATCGATACACAACGTATATATGTACCGTTGCTGTAACGTTGTGAAATGCCGTTATAAAATGACGTAATACTAACATTGTGACCACGTTGTGTCATGACGTTACCAATCTACAACCTTCCCACATCGTTGCGGAAATGTTGTGTGTGGACTATAGCTGGGTATACCGTTTGATCTAATTGGGTTAATCCCGCTGCTCGTCTCGTCCGTTCACTCATCTATCGGCACAGGTGACGACTCTACAACAGCGCATCTTTCACCTCGGTAGTTTCTCGGTGAGGAGCCGCATGCTTGTCCGGCGCGTGACGGTCAAAGGTCAGACGACGACGTCACGGTCGTTAACCGCGATCACAGATCGGAAGCAGACGGGACAACTGACAGAATACACGTTCACCCATGACGCGATACACGTCTGGAGAATATTTATTTGTTGTGACATGAATGTATAATGATGTGATGACGGTAGTGTTAATATTTGTTCTCTTCAACATCGTCATCCGTCATTCACGGAAAGAGGCGAGTAGTTACGAATGCGTCATTGTATGGCATTGCACGAAATTCGCATAATGACGGAAAGCGCAGGTAAAATATCCAAATCATCATCATCATCATCATCATCATCATCATCATCTTCACCTTCATTCGAGAGAAACATCAAGAAGAAGAAGCTGTCAGAATAATTTAGTATCTGGATATACAGACTTGTATTCCCTATCTCGATTATTGACAGACCGCCGCGACATAGCTGGAATATTGCTGAGTGCGGCGTAAACAACAACCATTAGGTATTTCCCAATGACGTCATTGAATGTCCCATCCGCTGATTATATGTGGAGAACTTACACTTAATTCATTGTCACATTGTGAGGACATATTGTTTTACAAGCATATCTGTGTGACATTCCGCAAAATTCCAACACGTAAACGTTTTCTTCTGATGATAAAATACTGCAAGACTACCCGACAACAATGCACGTTCCAATGCAAAGACGATTTTCAAACGAAAATACACTGAAAGAAAAAAGAAACTTTACACTTGGAGAAATGAATTCCATTGAAAATGGGTAGTACAAGGTAGTTAATATGGGCGAATACCAGGTCAAACCTGACGCACATACCCATTTCAACTGTTGCGGGGGTGATTGCAGCACGCTCTTTCGTGAAAACGCGACCATGTACGTGTCCAAGATCACGTGACCACAATTTCATGTGCTGAACTTGCTGGTGATTAGAAAAACACGCTAACAACCCTTGAGATATAAACAATTCTCTTGCACCACGCCTTACAAGTGTTGAACGTGAACGTGCAAATGGCATGTTCCAGGCTGGCCAGTCTACTGTATTTCGCGGACCATAAGATGCAGTAGACGGACAATTCACAACCTGAGGACACGTGTGACAGTGGGAACCAAGATTTACCGCCCCTGGTTTATACAAACGGTCAAGGTCATCACTGTTACCTGCTGAGACTATCTGCTCATATCCTTCCCAAATTATCGAAAACATCTTATGTTTCTCATTGATTTCGGATTAGACTTGGAAAGTAAATATAATTTTGGCTATCGGCTCAGTTTTGGGGGTCGCCATCGCAATGCATCCCTTGTGCCTTCTCCGTATGCTTGAGGGGCGGTGAGGTTGCCTAGTGGTTAAAGCGTTCGCTCGTCACGACAAAGACCCGGGTTCGATTCCCCACATGGGCAAAATGAGTGAAGCCCATTTCTGTTGCCCCCCGCCGTGATATTGCTGGAATATTGCTAAAAGCGGGGTAAAACCCAACTCACTCACCGACTCATTCGTATGCTTGAAGGGACAATTTGAATCAAGAAGTTCAAACAGAAAAGACCGCCTCCGTGGTGTAATGGTTAGAGCGTCCGCCCAGAGAGCGGAAGGTCGCGGGTTCGATCCCCGACCGCGTCATACAAAAGACGTTAAAATATGGTACTTGTTGGTCCCTGCCTGGCGCTTGGCATTAATGGGTACAACAAGGACTGGTTCGGCTCGGAGTCAGTATAATGTGTCTGAGTGGGGTATTCATGCTTCACTGCGGCATGGTATCTCAGTGGGCTAGCACTATAAAACCAGCTTAAGTCTGGGCTAGTACAAGCAGCCCCACATACACATACACACGCATGCACGTCGTCATATGAGCGAAATATTCTCAAGCACGACGTTAAACCCAATTTCACCTCACCTCAAACAGAAAATGTTCCATTTTCAATGTAAAGCAGAGTATGCCGTCATCTTGGAATAAAGATAAAGTACATTTACGAAAGGTTGGAGCAGTCTTAGACTTGCGACAATCTTACGAAATCTGAGGGCTACGATAGTTTTCATAAATATGCTACCACAGTCTATTTCATTACCAATAGGCTAAATAGATTTACAATATTCTCGTAATGGTTTATTGCACATTTTTTACTCTGACTTACCACACTTGATCGCCATGGCCCCGACATGATTCAAATGGATATAGTTACCATTATTCAAGTTGATTTCTGTACATCCACGTAGATTTGTATTGGGGGTCTGTGGTGAGAAGATATTTCCGAAATATACACGTAATATATTATATCATTCGACTGTTATTGATTTAAAACGTCATTTTGCATGCACCCACTCAGTGACTAAAAGTCAGAGTTTTCTCGAGGCATACAGCCCACAAGAAAAGAAACGCCGAAGACAAAGGACGCATCCCACCAAATGCATTGCGACCCACGGCGAAAACGTGGATGACTGATTGACCATTGTTGACGACAGTCACCGCGTGCATGACAACGAGAAACACGGACTGTATACTGACCAGCGCGTCTCAGAGATGAATTTCCTACACTGACATTTGGGCTTATCCCATTCAGCAAAATCGTGACTGGGAGTTACAAGCAAGGTCATGCTACGAACTCCACACTTTGTTTATATCAATATATAAGTCAGCAAGTATTACCTCTGTCAGAGCATGGAGCCATTGATTGCTGCAAGACGATTGGTCGTGACGATGTGACGTAGTCGTATGACGCAGAGCACTATTACATAAACTCGGTCTGGACGTTGCAAATTAAGAACTGGGGACGTCGTGAGCAAGCCAGTGGTCTCAAGTATATCTGACCAGAGTGATCGTCGACATAGGTATTTGTCGCTAACTTAAAAGGCCGAGGAAATAAATATCAAGGCACTTCAGACCCAACTGACTGAAGGTGAGCATGGTTACAATGTGTGAAACCCAATTCTGGTGTCCCCCGTAGTGATATTGCTGGAATATTTCTGAAAGCGGCGTAAACGTAAACTCACTCACTCATTTCACTGAATCTGAGGGAATTAAGCTTTTCAACCAGTGGACGTATCTGTTTCCACAATCCGTTTCCCCACCCTTACCATCAGCCTTCTCTAGTAAACATTTCACTAGGGACACAGTTGGTCCACTCGTAATGTCAAAATGTTTCACATGTTGACCACTTTGCTTGGAGTTTCGTCACTTAGTCATGTCGTGGGTTCGACTCCCGTGATTTAACACCAAATGTGAAACTTTACCATTAAATGCGATAAACCTTAACTGTTTTTTATCATACAAATGAATATTGTTGAAAGCGGCGCCTTATATTGTCTCACATTGTTTCCAGAACGAGTTGTCAACACACGTGGCTTTCGTTCCCTCCCCTAACATCCGGGTGCCATCGACGATCACATACTACCATCTTGACATTTCTCAGAACCCTGATATTATCCACCAGATTCTGTAGAAGTAATCAAGAAACATCTTATCTGCAATGCTCAACGATGACGCTTCAAGAATCGTGACTGAAAATCTGGCCTCATCTGAAGACTTCTTGCCAGGACGCCAACCGGAAGTCCAGCCAGAGAGTCCCGTGACCCTGCGTGAGTCGGATGCTGACGATCTGTTCGACTCCCAGTACGTCCTCCCCTCCGACTGCAAATGGTGGCAATACTTGCCAGATCTCCCACATTATGAAACTGACGGCGACTTTAGCGTGATGGACCTCTACGCTGAAGACTACTTGAACTGTTCCAGTCTCCGGGAAGATGTGGACAGTGCAGATGATGACAACGAAGGGGTTGCTGTTCACGAGCGTGTATACCATTTGGACACTAGGTGGACAACAATATGGGGACTGGACATCATCTGGGAGGAATGAAGATGAATAGTGCATATACATGTAGTCGTAAGGGGAATGTTACAGTGAGGTACATATGCCCTGTACGTATCATTGTAATAAAGGGTCGTTATCGTCTGTCACTTTGTTTTTACTGTTTGTTTGTTGTTTACCGCCGCACTCAGCAATATTCCAGCTATATGGCGGCGGTCTGTAAATAATCGAGTCTGGACCAGACAATCCAGTGATCAACAGCATGAGCATCAATCTACGCAATTGGGACACGATGACATACATCAACCACCGGGAGAATGAACACCCGGTATTCTTCTGGCGAAAACACACATCTCAGTTTTCAACATCCTTTGTGGATTTCGTGAGCACGAAGACATCGAACATCATACTCTGCAACGAAAATGACAGCAGAAAATAATACAGTATCACGCACGTCACCTCTAAAATGCACTATTAAAATAACATAAGAAATTACATTGTACCTTAGACAAGAAGAAAACTCTTGAAACACCATAAACGTTTTAGAAATAGTCTGGCGGTAAAATAACATGGGTTTTTTTCGAATCTTGAGTTTTACATGAAACCTGTCATTCCCCTGTAGTGTCTTGTCAATGAGAATAAACCGTTATTTACCCCAACTGCGTATACTGATACTCGTAATGTCGATCACCGCATTGTCTGGTCCAGACAAAAAGCGTCATGCAGCAGGAATATCTTTGAGGATATTGTGAAGCAATAAACAAGATATCAAAACAAGCCAGTTCGCAAGCCCGTTGATTAGTTACTGAAAGAAGCGGCTGTTAAATCTAAATAACGAAGTGTTACTAAAAAAAGTACTGTCGGAAATAGAAAAAAACTGGGTTTTTTCGCATTGATATCTACAATTTATGTAGTTAATATGTGTAAATATGAAATATCTGTTAAACTGAGTTCGGCCTAACTACAGTCTCAGTGGTAGGGAGATAAGAAACGCGGGACTTTACTGAGGAGAGATTAGTGCAGAAATGAAAAATGCGGTTTATTTCAAATTCCAAAGCCATTTATTTGGAACAGGACATGGCTTTATGCAAATTAGTGTTAGATAATATATTACAAAGGACAAATTTTAAATGTCCATTTTGAAATTAAACTTAGCTTCATTATAAACGATACCTGACTTAAAAAATAATAACTTTAAAGGTCACATGCAACGTAAAACACAACTTTGCAGATTCTGATACCTTTCGGTATGGATTTAACGAAACAAATCATCAAAAATGCAAAATCAACTTATAAAGTTGAAAAATAACGCGATAATAAAACCGCGCGAAATCGGAGTTCAAACGATTCACTAATTTTCCCCAGCGCTTGGGGGAATTGAAGTGGTTTCAACAGCTGGGCTGTGCTCATAGCACATGCGCAGTGAAATAGGTTCGCGCAGCTTGGAAGCGGGATGTCCGGTGAATACTCGGTGAAGGCTTTGGTGTGAGCTATTTTGGTGGTTGGGGTCGGGCTGGGGCATAGAGATATAAGGTGAGATAAGATAATCTTTAGGGGAAGCAAACAGCATGTCATAACAATTTACAAATAATATCCAGTCCTGTCGATCTTCGGGTGGTCATGCCACCTATATATTTTGAGACATTTAATACGATGGCTGATTTAAGGGCTTTACTGTCCTTTGTCGGCAGGTTTTTGTACTATCTATATATATTCTATTTCAATGTCATGTGTTCTCGTCACGATATGGCTGAAATATTGCCGATGTGACGTTAAATAATAACTCACTCACTCACTCACTGATTTAAGGTTTCCATGGGTATCATACCCTTTTGCGTATCTCAACAATACGTTTAGGGTACAGAGCGTCGAATTCAACATAAAAATCACGTTTCGCGCCTATATGCCTTGGGCGTGATACATACTGCCAGCTAGTAAACACCCTCATCATCATCATCATCATTTGATGTTTAACGTCTGCTTCAATGTCAAATGTTCTCGTCACGATATGGGCCTGTAGCCAATGTCGCCGACGGGGTTGGTGGGATCTAATATAAATAAACAAATATTAACTAAATAAGGAATAAACCACCATACCGAAAAAATGTAAATGATGGGGCTAACATTTACCTTAATTTGGAATAAAAGAAGTTTATAAACATGGAGAAAAAAATAAAGAAGAAACCGAGATTAGAAATAGAAAGTAAAAATAAAATGATAGTAAACACAACTTCGTCATGTTTATATTTATCGCCAACTGATGACAAATATATAACAGCGCATCTCAAGTACGTAGTTTTGACTAGGGCTGTAACGATGCATAGAACTATCGATGAATTGCAATTGTTGAGTCTCCGATAGCAATTAATCGATGGCAGAAACGAAAAATATCGATAGTACGTGTGACTATCGATAGTTTAGTAATTGACTTCTTTTGATAAATGCGCAGCGCAAAATACAGGCGGTTTGGGTTCAGACTTGCAGCTTCATTGAGTTTATGTGTTAACTTGTTAACTTGATCTGTGTTTCAAGTTTCTTGTCAGTTATTATAAAAATATTTTGGCAGGAAATGCATGTGGACCCGGTTTTTTGTAAATATCTCTTCATCCAATGACCCAATCGATGACCAAACACTGCCGCTGTTACAGGTCATTGGCTCCCTCCCTCTGCAAGCAGTTTGCGTTCTGCTGTTTATTTTGTTGACAGTTACATAGACAGATTCTTTAATACAAATGCATAAAATAGGTGATTTACAATGTGATTAGGTTGTCTGACAAAACATCCACTTGCACAGTTTGAGATCGATTGGGTCATTGGATGAAGAGATATTTACAAAAAACCGGGTCCACATGCATTTCATGCCAAACTATAGAAGAGACTGAACGACTACGAGTTTGATGATTTTACGTCGGCTTCTGGCGGGTGCCAATTTCGCCGACGGGATAGGTGGGAGCTACGATAATAATTAATAAGTTATAATAAGGGATAAACCACCATACCCCAAAAAATGTAAATGCTGGGGCGTTAACCTACATGAATTATAATAGAAACGTTAAAACATAAGAGAAAAATAACAAAAAGCCGAATTTATAAAGGGAAAGGAAGGAAAAACAAAAGGTGGAGACTGAAACTACTTCAACTTGTTTTTATTTCATATAAACTGTACATTCATTTGAGAAATGACTTCAAATGAGACAATTAAAGGAGAAAAAACTATTGCAATAGTTGGTCGCAATAGTATGTTGCAATAGACTATCGCTATAGTTGTTTCCCCTCAATAGTCACCGCTAGTTTTGACAGTAACTAGCGGATTCCCTTCTTAGAAACAGGCTGCATGCCAGACCTACACAAGGCAGTCGGAGTTCACACACCTACCGTCACGGCAGTGAACAGCAATCAGGGCAGACGAGACAAATGTCAGTCAGACGGCTGAATACACGTTCACCCATGACGCGATACACGTCTGGAGAATATTTATCTCGTATGACATGACTGGATTACGATGTGATGACAGTAGTATAAGTATTTGTGCGCTTCAACGTCATCGTTCATCTGAGAGAACCACTGTGAGAAGGCAGTTGAGAGAAGAATTCAGAATCTTGGTATAAAAGCGTGAAGTCTTGTATCGCAGGATACAGCTTCGCACCACTCTACTGTGTATGAATCGGGTATGTGTCTTGGGTGTTTGACTTTTACTTCATACATCATCTATTCCACAGCTTGTCAGATTAGTTTACTTTCATGCAAAACTCTTACCTCTATTAATCATGTATTTAGAAATCTTAAAGGTTTGAGGTAGGGCGTGTTCTACCCGGGTAGCCGATCCCCTGTTACCCTACCCAAGGATACCCGATATGTAAATTCCTGACATCAAATTTATAAGAAATGGCAATATGTTCTTCGAGGCTAAAATTTCGATTTTTTCATTATCTTAATCATGTATTACATTCAAAACAGCTGACTGTAAATAATGTCTAAATCTTCTAAGTCAGTGCAAACTTTTAATCATGAAAGAATAACATATTACATTGTTGAATCTATTAGTCACATGATCATAACGGGTCCGGGTATTGAGACGGCTACCCACGTCCAACTCATTACCCACCCGTCCGGGTTACCCGTCCCAGCCTTAGTATCAGGATCTTGTATTATACTGAAAACATTTTTCTCTCCAGATCTCCCTTATTCGTTCACCATGGCACCTGATATCACCACCGTCTCCATCGACATCCGAGTCCCACCGATCTTCATCACTGACCCTGCCGTCTTGGACAACTTCCCAGAACTGGGTTATTCTGAACCGGGAAGCTTGGCAACTTTCTACCAATCGAGGTCTCCCAGAAGCACTCCTAAAACGATTGCCATCTCAAAACAGGAAAATATCTCGTCCCCTGAAAATTTGAACGAATTCATAAGTTTGTTACCAGGCGTGACCAACACTGAGGTCATAAGTGAAAACACATCTGTCGAGAGTCCAGTGAGTCACGGAGGAGAATCAGACGATCTTTTTGACTCGGAGTACGTTCTTCCAGACAACTGTCAATGGTGGGAACAGGTGCAGGATCTATCATTTGAAGCGCTACCTGGTGATTTTGTTATTGTGGATCTGCCTCACTTTGGGGACAATCTGAATTATCCCGGTCTTTGGGAAGATGTGGACAATTATGTCAGCGTAGTTGACGTCACTGACGATGAGGTCACACAGGAGTGTCCTTTATACGAGCCCGTGTATTGTCTGGACACCAGAAAGACAACAGTGTGGGGACTAGACATCATCTGGGAGGAAGACGAATGTGTCAGTGAAATGTTGGAATGAAAATATTCTGTGTATATGTAATAAATACCGTTCATATGCGCGAAACTGAGTTCTTTTGTTTTCCTTTTATGGGGCTCAATAAATGGTCTTATAGCCGGATGTGTTTATCTTTAAAGAAAAACGTTTAATCATACAACCTCTCATAGCGATGATATAAACGGGTGGCCTACAGCGCTTTTATGAATCTTCCATGGCAATTTTCTTCATCCATATATCTAGGCTTAGTCTGTCGTACAGACCCTGAAGCAAATATATCCAAGAAAGCCCACGCAAGTCTAGAAAATGTGGCAAGTCTAGATTTCCACAGCTTCAGGAAAATGAAGAAAGT